TATTTACTTTAATTTAAATTTTATCGACTAAATTAGGTAAATTTTTCTTTTAATTTATAAAACTTAATTTTTTTTCGTTTTTTTTCAGAAACATTGTAAATTAATAAATGATATTAGTGGTAAAGAATTGTATGAATATATTTTGATCTATTTTTGAATATTATTCTTCTCATTTTATGATTTGCTCAAGTTGCTATTAGTTGAGTGATACCAATCAAGAAACAACAAATTCGATGACATTGTCAACTCTTTTTAATTTTATTACCCTTCCATTACAATTGTCAAATCACTGATAATCGTTTCATTTATATTCGCTAATTTTTTATTCTCTAGCATTTGCATAGCAGAATGGCTTGTTTTAAAAATTTTTCATTTAATTGTCGTAAATGTTAAACATTGGTTACTGTAAAATTATATGCTAGATTCTAAACATTGTTTATATAAGCCTAAGACCTAAAATTATCTTTTTAAAAAAGTTGAAATATTTATTTTTAAATATTGTTTTTTTTTCTCGACCTCAATGAATGCAATCTGTTTAACAAATTACAAAATGACCATTTATGGGAGCTTAACGATTTTGAATTTCGAATATAAGTGAAATTAGTTACAGAAATAATAACTGAATGAAAAGTAAAGATTGAGCTTCATTTTGCTTCACCAAAAACTCTTAGACTAAATCAGGATGGTATGCTAATTTGAATTGTTACGTAATTAGATTCACAAGAGAGTGTAAATAAATTAGATGAATCGTTTCTTGGCTACAAAAGAAATCAGAAATGATGGAACAGAAAAAAAAAAAAGATAGGAAGAATATTTCATTAACTATCATTTTCAGAGGGATATTACTTCATTATCATGAGATAAAGACAACAATAAAACAAAATTACCTAAAATATCGAAGAATGTGACAATTAAGCGAAACTTAAATGCATTACTTGCATGTTTAAAAGTTATTAAATGTGATAATGTAAGTTTTACAAACAAATGTAAATGACATTTGAAAAGTTTTGAACTTGTGATAATGCATTTACCTCATAATTTTGCATATCAGTATTTTAGTATCATTTTAGTATTATTTGATTTCGATTAAATTCTTTTCCAACATTCTTTTCCAACATTTAATACTTCACGTATGCTTAATATTCATCAATCAATGGAATACATTAAATGGAAATTATTTCGATACTGTTATCATAAATAGATTTGATCATTTTCTAAGTGAACATATAAATGCATTACTTGCAATTATGCAAAATTGATCCTTGCAAAATTAACTGCAAAATTGACTAATCGATTTGTAGCAGAAAAAAGAAAAAGAAAAACTTATTTTGTACTGATTCAATGGGATTCTCTTAAGGAGCCATTGAACTTTATAAATTTCAGCATTTAAAATATTGTCTAAAATTTAACTAAAATCTAATAAAACATGCAGTAAGTATATATATATATTCATAACGTGATATTTCATTATTTTCAATTTTTTTTTTGTTTTTTTTCAAATCATTTTTCATTGTAACAAAGTATTTACTCTGTTCACATTTTGTATAACAAAAGTAAAACGATAATGGAACAGACTTTAAAAATCTAATTTTAGCTAAATTTTTCAAAGAAATGCTTATATTCTATTGATAAATTTCAAATCGTAAAATCTTTTTGCCAAAAACTTTTTTTTTCTTTTTTTTTATATCATTTAAAAGATCTTTCCCATTCTGAAGTATTTTTAAAATTCTCTATTTTTTCATCCATGAACAAAACCATCTTAATGGTATTTTTTTTTTTAATTGATTTTTAATTTTTACTGTCTTTTTTTTTTTTTTGTTATTGTTGTTGTCGTATGGCAAAATTAATCTTAGATTTAATTTTAGAATTTTTTTTTAAAAAAAAAAAAAAACAACAACATATTTATTTAGGAAGGAAGAAAATAAAATTTAAAACTTAGCTTCAAGATAATTTGTTACAGTATCATTAATGAGGTAGGAAAAATAAATTATTTTCATAATGATTAAAATAATTATGAATATTAATTATGCATCCTTGTATGAGGTTTACAATTCAAATTAATTTTGCTAATGAAGGAAAGTAATACATCAAGCATAGATTAACAATCATTTTTCAATTATATCAATTTCATTTTACTCCAAATGAACAAATGTAAAATATTACAATTAAATAATTTGAAAAAGAAATATATTATTAACATATGAATGATTACTACTAATCAATCGTCCTTATCCTTGTTCTCTTGTATTATTTCTTTTCAAATAGCATAAAGAAAAAACTTCAATTTGTAATTTAGCACATATTTGGCGTACCTAAAAATAGACTTTTTATCGTATTCAATTATGATAAATTATTGTAATTATATATATCCTAAAAGTGTACTGTAACAAAAAATAAACTTACTATGGAGGAAAAGTAATGCAAATATTCAACAAATAATAATACTGCCAATAATCTTAGCAAAAATAATTCCCAAGTTGCATTCAAAATATTCGATATGGAGAGTAATGCAACTGCACAGTACAACATCACACCGGTGTTACATATTTGAGCGGAAGAACCACTCATATGTGAGACAATCAATTGACTCTAAAAATTTCATTATAATTTAAAATGGATAATTAATGAATAAAGTTTCTTTTTGTTTTTTTTTTTTTTTTTTGAAGTGGTAATTCTTCTGAGTTCTTCTGAAGGAACAGTTTCAGCTAGCCTTTTAATTAATTAAAAATTAAAAGAAGCAGAAAGCGAATGAGTAGCAACATCAGCTATTTCCTTTTGGATTGTTCTAGTGTTACAGCAACC